TCGTCAGCCAAAAACAAATAAACAAAGTGGGATATTATAACAGGCCTTCCCAGGCGAAGAGGTGACTTTGTTGTAATGTAACCGTGTGGAGTGAACCACTGCTTGCTGTGATGAATACGGAGTCAAACGGAAACTGCTGTATTGAGCGAACAACAAAGTGAGGAAGGAAGAGAGTTCCAGAGGAACGAGAGCTTAAATACAGGATGCCAGCAGCGCGCACGTGACACATACTACATGCTGCGCTACACGTGATCAACCCCTAGTTCCTCCAACTCCGTAACACTGAAGAGAAGAGTAAATCTTTGAGTGTTGCGGCTTACTTTCAGGACGGTAGCTAGGGGTTCTGGTGAGAGGGCTTTTTTTCATGGGTGGTGTCTGAGGATTCATTAGGGGAATTCACAGGTGCGGCGGAAGGACACAAATATTAGTGGATATTGCTGGTGGATCTTTTTTACTCGAGTCCATGGATTCTGCATTATATGATACATTCCAGAAGCGTAATCATACAAACTCCTGCCATATGTATACATGCTTGTGAAAAATAGTGCCTTGGGACTTGGATCTATTTGAAATAAGTGCTAATTGAGAACTTTTCATACCTTAAGTTTGAGGAAAACAACGTTACATGTCATTGACACTTCTGTAGTAGAGCCAGTTAAAGTAAACAATAAATCCAGTTGGAGATGGATAGGGGTCTGAGCGCCACACAAGGAGTGCATATAAGGAGGCTCTGCCTCCTACTCAACTCCTTATGCCTTTCGCACTTTTGGACTCTCTTTTTCCCTACCTACCGTCCCTGATACAAATCACACGGCTCTTTGTATTTAGCACTGCCTGTTTAGTTAGTTAGTTTTTTACCTGTATAGTCCGTCATGGTCTCTCACTTAGTGAGGTCCTAGGACAGTCACAGGCTCTGGAGGTTCTTTGAGTTCGCTTGCCAGCTATTCAGCATAAATGCTATGCTTACTAAGCACCATATGCCCCTGGCCAAGCGCTCTGGAGCCTGGTTCCTGCTAAACATGAAAGATGTTTTTGAAAAAGCTCGTTCCATAAGTGAGAACTCAAGTATAGCGATCAGACCAAGTTTCGTTTGAAAGTGGTGCTTGTTCAAGTTGTTTAATTGACGTGGACCATAGCCTGAGTATTCAGAGTCTTCTTTATGCATTTTATCGTTATCATATGAACATAAAGTACACTTCAAAACACGACATGCAAAGGCAGTGATGTCAAAGGCAAGCGCATCATTTTGCCTCAATTTCCTTACCCTCTTTTATTATCAAGATGCAATCATGGTGCTCTTACATACAGATTCTTTTACCAGAAGCTATAAAAAGTAGTTATTCAAATGATTCCAGAAAGGACCATCAGGGAGCCTAGGCTTTGTGTGAAAGACCAAGGATATGAGGACTCTCCTTCCAAACATAACCTCGTAACAAAAGGTCCAAATATTAAGCTGGTATTATTATCAATCTGGAAGCGTTGGGGAATACCTGGAGGTGTCTTGAGACTATCTGCCCAAATTGTGTGGTGGTTACAAGAGAAGGATGAAGTTTGGGTCGCCCCTTTAATATTCGATCCGTTTTCCACGTAAACCCTTCTCAATGAAGACAGTCCACCATACCTTTTCTCAAAACCTCAAACCACCACCTTTTAGCCCCCAACTCTCCACAAACTAACGATACCGCACAAAACTCGACCACAAACTATAACTCAAATAATGCCGCCTCCACGCCCTTCCCGTGTTCACGCAAGAAAACCCAAGAATCAACAAAGTTACCCATCTGAGAAGCATCGAGCAATATTCCCGCATTCGGGTACTCAAGGATTAACCATCATTTTGGACTTCCGTCACACCACAACGACTACGCTTTACATGTTCTCGGAAGATAGCACAAACTGCTGTTTTGACGTATCACTTCTCCAGATCATTCCCCAAATACGCTTCTATGTTAGTAAAGGTTAAGCTCGTGATACTCTATCAAACTTCCCGACACGAATCAAACAATGGATTTGAAGCTGGAACAGTTCTGAAGCACAGTCAAGGAAACATCATCAAGGAAGTCGCCAAGATTCTGAATACGTTTCCCAAATTGAAGGAATTGAAGATAGACGTCATGATGCCAAACTTTGCTTGGGGCCAGATGAAGAACTGTGCATATTTCTATCAGATGAACTTCTCGGGTTGGCGACTCTGGGAAACAGTTGGAGAAGGGAGACCGGCTGAGGTGGAGACTGGTTCTGCTTTGGAGTTACGAATCGCTGGGTATGCTCGCTTCTTGCAAAGAACGGAGGCTTTGTGAAGCTAACTGGTAATGGTAGAATACATTTGGAAGTCTGACTGGTGAGGTTTTCCTGTATACGTGGGTTTGGCTAAGAGCAATGGACATAACTGCCTAAGTAGCTGCGGGACTTCATAGTAGCAGGCCAGCAATAGACTACCGCTCTCCTGCAACTTCCCTGCTTTGACATTAAGACCAATGAAGAATGACTGTGCGTTTTGTTAACCTTGGTAAATAAATTAAACTCCTGAGACTCGCGTACTCGCCGCCAACAACGAATAGTTAGCGATGACACAAAATTCAGTATTTGGATCCAGATTCCATAAAACTTCCAAATTCCATGTCATTGTGAATTATTCCAGACCTGCTTGAGAATTGGAATACAAAAGTGGAAAAAGCAACTCAAACTAGCCCAAGTCATTAGTCCAGATCTTTGGATCGATCACATGAAATTTGCCTATAGATTAACCAGTAAATTTGAACCTATAATGAATATAAGCTGATCTGGAAGCATTGGACGACCAGACATTTATACTCCATCTTTCCTTATACACGGAGAGAAAAAAAGCTTATTCCACCACGTTGCATCTGTCTTCATTTTTTTACACACCAAGAAAGAGGAAATCATAGCAAGCGAAGATTAGAATAACCTACTCTACCAGTACGAACCCTCAATTGTTATACTCTACGCAGGATTGGTAAGGTCAATCTGATCGTTCTATTTGGAGACTCATTTAGTGGAGTTCACTATTTCTCAGCAGGGATTGGGACATTTCTAGGCAAAAAAGCGAACGATTTTCCTACAGCACGCGTGGTGACACAGACAATCATGATAAATTTACTTATGTAAGACAACGTAGAAGTGAATGATATATGATATTCCCCGCGCCAGCAAGGTTGTACTCTGACATGGAGAGAACACGCTTCAATAATAAAATAGGACTGTGATTGTCTTCCACCCGTTACGTCAAATGATACGGATACCAACCTAAACCACTTTGCAGCCAAAGTCTCACCTGGCAAAATGGCTACTCATACCAACAGTCAAGCGGCTTTGAGATTTGTACGTAGGGAACATCTTTCTTTTTAGCTCCTGGATCTTTGTCTCCACGTTGTGATGAGGTTTCCTATAAACCTGGCCCAGCCCATACCAGTATGTATCGAAGCATTGCTGATACATCGGACTTCGTAGGAGATCCGTCGTACTCAAGTCGATATCGTCATTTCGGTCAGAGAAAATGGAGGGTATCGTCTCAAATGCTCCCTTGGATGACATGATGGACTTGGACACGGAGATGGACCATCAGTTTGTCCGCGTTGCAGCAAAACAGACTATACCGTCAAAAAGTTCAAATGTTTCGAAAGCAAGCAACGGGCTATTTATGACAGGAAAGGGAGAGAAATCGTCTTCAATGAGCACGAACCAGACTCAAGCTGCTCAACATCCGCTTTGTAGCACTAGCCAAGTCTCTCGTCCTGGACAAGCAGAGAAGACTCAAAGCTTACGACTTCCTTTGAGACCGAGAAACAATCCGAGAAGCCCACCAACTAGCAAATCCTCAAACAGAAAACAAGCAAATGGCGATGGGATGGAATTGGACATCGAAAGGCCAAGAATGCCGGTCCAAAGTCTATCTTGACACAGAGCCGTCATTCCGCAGCCAGGTAGTTTGACAGTGCTAAAATTAAACCTTGATTTCGATACCGCCTCCACAACCTCCTTGTACCTCGACCAGTCTGGAAACAAACAAGAAAACATAGACGATTCTTTTCTTAAGGTTGTTCAACAAGAAACTGTTTTGCGGAAGGAAATACTCATCACGGTGTGTTATCAATGCCCAACGAAAGAAACGAGTCGGCAAGGATATGGCCCTCAATTGTTCAACGTGGTACCTTTCTATGAGCTCGACTATAAGTTTTGGACTTTCAGATATTTTCGTGAGGGCTGGAGAAAGTCGGAGGTCTTGATGGACGGCAGTGCTTTGAAGAGTCGAATTTTGACGGCAGCGAGAGATTGGAACAAGTCCAAGAAAGGCAAGCAGGCATGATGTCGTTTTTGGATTGATTTAGAGGTATGATCATATCGTTGTTTTGATCTGGCTTATGAAAATGGACTTTTATGACATATCCGGACCCAGGATTGATTTCTTGTTTTCAAAACTTTGCCGCTGAGAAGGGGAGGAGGTACTAGATACGAGTACGTGCTTGCCACAGAATGTATTGGTAGGATAGCTAGAGGATGCCTCTGTCGCTAGCTAGTGATAGGTCAGTACTTGGTCTGCTGTGGGTGTAATCTTACCGGTATCCCTTACAGTACAGTCCCCATTGTGTGGTTTCCGGAAAAGGTTTAAATGAACTACCTAAGTTTTGGAAACTCAGCTCTATTATATAAAAGGTTAATTGACTTACAGTACTGTATAATGCAGTGTTTTGGTTGCAGGTTTTCGATAAATAGCGGGTCTTAGAGGGCCGAGGGCTTCAATAAAACACTCCTGCTCTTCATCTGAAAATATACCTTTTCCGGAAATCGCACCGCGCACGGGGGACTGTACGAACTCCCGTGAATCATCGGTCAACCTTTTAGTTGTCTCAACAAAGTTCCGCCCCTGAAGGGTTAGTTCGTCCTTAGCGGCTCTGTCGGAGGTGAGGTGAGGCTCCCATATTAGCAGCGATCAATGGCGAATGGCACAGACCTGAAGTCCACACTAACAGATTTGAAGTCGGCACTAATGTTTGACATGGCCAGTTGGCACAATTCATGTTTGGACTACCGCTAGGTGACACTTGAGTAAAGCGGAGTACTGGGTACCGGTTTACGCCTCCGTGGGGATAGTTTGCTGCTCAGGATGCGATTCAGGTGCCTGCTCGCCAATCGCAGCCCCGGTCTATGACCTGCTCTGTCAACCCCCATGATTTTCGGGTTTCTGAGGATGTGGCGATTGATACTCTCCCTGTGCTCAGCTTGAAGGCTTTGTACTGGTACTCCATAGGCCATTGATTACGTACTGAGCTATTGCCATTCCGCAACTCTTCCTTGATCCTCTCGTCTTTTTAACACTTCGTCCATTTTACTGTACTTGAAAGAACACTTGCCTTTGCTGTTTAGATGGACCTTATCATTCAATCCTGTTTCCGTCCGCTCACTCTCTCTCACATTACTGAAAGATAATGAAACTCACCTCCATATCCTTCCTGCTTTACTTAATATCGACGGTTGTTGCCCTACCACTCAATATCAATGGCGGAAAATATTCCCCGGTAATTGTTGTTGATGATGGAAGTAAGTTCTGGTGTAATGTCTTTTTCTTCTCCGCCAGAGGCTGATTTCGTCTAGAAATGACTTTCACTGCATCGTTAGGAATGCCGGCACAGGCTCTCAAGTCGCTTGGTATATTTGGGAAGAATCCAGATTTGGCAAATCGTTTAGGGGACAACCCATACGCAAAACTCTCGCCTGAGTTAACCACATTGCTTCGAACGCAGCCGCGACCGCGACCGCCTCCGCGGCCCAAGGGCATCGACAACCTCGACGGCAAGGGCCAGCAATCGGATTTGGATTTTCGGCCTCTTTCATGACTGGATAACGTCGACAACGTGGAGAAACGACCTTGAGGTTGCGAGAGCCGAACACGAATCAAACAGGGAGTTACGGATATCTTCGATACTACAAAAGGCCCTTTAGACTAGGGTAAAAGCATAATAATCTATCTATCATAATCGAGGAAATGTTCGACAAAATCGATGTAAAGGTATTCGCGTCGGTGGTATGGCTCTGTTCGGCCAAGATAGTGGTCGAAGGTGGTGGTCGAAGTCATACAGGCTGTTTGAAGAACCAAAGCTAGCAGGGGTAGACACTGTTGAGTAGTATATTACAACTCTATGGAAATACACTTTGAATGGAATTCGATATTCACAGTCACTGGAAAGCATGAAATTTGTACCTCAAATATTTGAATGTCTTATCATTTCGAAATTTCAAGTGTCCATGAAGGCTTATTCCCATGGTCTGGCCATTTGGAACCTAAATAACTACTCCTCGTGAACAATGTCTCTTTCTCCCATGGCTCCCGGCGCAAACTTCACATCAACGTTCAAGTCAAATCCTGCAGTAATTGACATCAATCTCAATGGGGAAAAGGCAACACATCCCATGAGGTAATTTTGCAAAAGCCACTCTCGAGAAGATCCTTTCTTATTAGGGGCGAACGTATGTAACGAATACTCAAACTGGCTAACTAAACTTGGCTGGGTGTTCGCTGGTTGGTATGCTATGATAAGAAGAAGACTATCGGGTTGTTCACTTGGAAGTGAACTCGTTACTTGTATCAAAGATGTCAAACTAATATGATAAGATTGATAACTAAGTTGAGCACGAAGCTCCTATCTAATGGCAGACGTGCCAGTCTTATATAGAACCTTCATCCTCAAGTACTATGATCTGGGTAGCCAACTCGCCTGTCGAGCTGGCGGTCCGTTTCGCTAGGTCGCCGAGCGATCCAGCGATCCAACTTAATCATGTGACCATAACCAATGGAAATCCCTGGATCGCTTAGCTACCTGTCACGAATCACGTAAGCATGTGACAAGTGAAGACCAGGCGGCGTCCTGACAGGTCGAGCACTATCATATCTCTTATAGCAAATAGGGATGCTTAGACTAGCTAAGCGATCCAGAGATTTCATTACATTGTAATCACGTGACCATTTGCATCGCCAGTATCGACAGACGATGCTGGCGATATGTCGACAGCATCGACAGGCGATGTAGGCGACGGCGGAACACGAAGGTTCTATATAAGACTGGCACGTCTGCCATTAGATAGGAGCTTCGTGCTCAACTTAGTTATCAATCTTATCATATTAGTTTGACATCTTTGATACAAGTAACGAGTTCACTTCCAAGTGAACAACCCGATAGTCTTCTTCTTATCATAGCATACCAACCAGCGAACACCCAGCCAAGTTTAGTTAGCCAGTTTGAGTATTCGTTACACTACCCTAAGCGATCCCTATTTGCTATAAGAAACCTGGGTATGCCTGTCGAGGGTTGCGACTCTTATTATGACAAGTATCACGTGAGCACGTGATTCGTGACAATTCGATAAGACTTTCTCTGTTTATAAGAAGCTTAAAATAGCCTCCGACTTATTTATAGCTATAATGCCTTAGATTTTAGGCTTCTTAAAAAAGATCCTCCCTTACTATTACTTCTTCGTTTAATCTAGCGACGTATAGTATTATACTTAGTCTTAGTACTATTAGGCGAAATAACCGTCTTACTACTATTAGCTTATATTTCTTAACGCTCGAATAGTATACTAATATTAAATAACAAACTCGCTATACTAAACCCATAGTGCGACTATATAAACTAGGACTATTATTATTTCTATTATTATTATTCTTATTCTTATTATTTCTATTTATATTCGAATTAACCGACTTAGCTATTTGAGTTATTAGTATTACCGACTTAGCTATCTTAACTAATAAGTCGACCGATTTAACTACCCCTTTAGCTTTTCCTTAGACTATAGGTCTAGCCTAAACCGCCTTGTCCTCCGATTCTAACTTAGAATATATAAAAATATCTTTAAGATTATTAAATAAAGAATAGAGAGAAACTAGGTTAAGTTGTGACGACACGCACAGCTGATGGACCGCGCACGAATGCACGACTACGCCTGGTGTAAGTTGGGGACTGTGGAACTGTCTATTCGAGGATTCTAAGCTGAAGAGAGAAGAGAAAGAAAGGACAGAAGCCCAGGAGCTGGAAGCTCTTATATACCGGAGGTGTGCCAAGCCATAGCTAACCGAGCCGGGCTCGGGAAGCACGGGGCACGCCGGGTGCCAGCCAGGGGCTGGTTTGAGGCATGGTGGCGGTAAGAACCGTCACATAAGTAGAGAGCCTAAGAGTAAAGCTAAAGTCTTTACTTTCGAAATATCTAGTTATCTAACTAAAATATACCTAATTATAGTCTTAGAACTTAACTTTCTCTAAGTACTATTTGTTCTTCTATTTACTTTATATAAGTATATATACAGTTAGAATGTTTTAATTATACTAAATAATTCCCGCTTCTCTTTTCGCTTATTAGTAATAATATTATTTATACTATAAAATAAACTTTAGAGATCTCTTTTTACGCTTAAAACTTATTATAGGGCGGTAGGATTTATAGGAGATTTAGTAGGTTTAGATATAGAATAGCCTATTTAAAGGGGTTATATTTACTTTACTTAATTGCACGATTTATTATTCTTGTATTTTAGAGTATAGATACTATAATCGCAGGGGCTTCGCGTACCTCTAACAGAGTAGAGAGGGGTTATTATTACAAGGTTAGTTTTGTTAGGTATTAGTTATAGTTTTAGAGCGTAAAACCACCGGGCTCCGATAAGTCCGCTCTGACTAATACAACTCTATTTTACACTTTAAATCTCCACTTATTTCTCCAGCTATGTGACCAGCGGCTGAGGGCTGAGATAAAGCAAAGCAAAGCCTGGGTGGGCACTCTTAATCTAGATTTAACGGCCGTACACTGAACCTTCATTAGGATCAAGGTCTTATGTCGTAATTTATATCGTAAGAAGTTTGAAATCTCAGCATAAAACTAAGTACTTCTTTTCCATCTAGGGTAGCACGTCCTTACCCTGCTAAACATTTATCCAGAACAGTACAGGAGATAAGATAATAGAACAAGGACACCTATTGTCTTGCATAATCCTCAGTGAATCAACTTCAAGACGACGTAGTCAGACATAGAATTGAGATTTGCAAATAAGTCGATAAACCTCAATACATCCAATTGTCCCGCAGTGAAATATAGGAGTTTTTATGAAAAAGGCTTCAAGAGCCTAGCGAACCCAATTCCGCTTCTTCAATGAAGAGTTCAAGAAAAAGACATAAACAGCTAAAGCAAATTTAAAAGTGTGACTGCAAGGAAACCACAAATATATTGTTTGTCGTAAAACTTTAAATAAACATAGAAATTACAAATCAATAATTGAAATGTAGAGGAATGGAATTGCTGTATCAATTGTGAATCTTCTGTTCGGTGGGCAGTATTCCGAGATACGAAAACAAGAAGCACAGAGAATTCACCCCATAAGCGATTGAATTGAAAGGGCAACCACTACCGCTGTTGAGACTTGGAAAGCCAAAACCCCCCTATTGAGTCTTTTTTGTGGGAGCAGATGCAATTTGGCGGTTGATCATAGTGTTCAGTCGAAAGTACATGTCGAACATCATGAAGGCAGCTGAGCTAAATTTAGCCCAAGATCTACAGTGAATAATTCATCGGGAGGTACGAACATAACGCCAAGTAGGGCCCATAAAGAGTTGTCAAGCTAATCTTCTGATTGAGAGTGAGGGGCCAGTACGAGTATTCGAACATGCAAGTAAGAGTAGTAAGGAACACTTTGATGGCAAATGGAAGCAGAGCAAGCGGGATCTTTGGTGAATCTTGTGGAAGTTAGTAAACAAATCGAATTGGAAACAGAGGCAACCGACTTCTGTATAGACCACCCAGGCCCCAGATCATCACTGGAACTTGGTAGAGGAGCTCTATCCACAAAAATAGCTTGAAGAATGGTGGCGTGTTAACGTAGTATTGGTCGTGATACGTGTTGACATAGAAATCCTTCAAGGAGGTCAAAATATCTGGAACGAGGTGTGGAGGATAAATCGCCTGCAGGTCCATAACTTCACGTGACAGCTATTAGTAAAAGGAAATGTTTATATGGCATTGAAGCTCTTTTAGCGTATGGATTGCTCACCTAGAGCTATCGGAATGCCGATTGTGAAATGTACCATGTATGCCAGGTCACGTTTTCGGGAGAAAATCGAGCTTCCAGTTGAGGTGACCATAGTAACAGATTGGTCGTATAAATGGAACCTGAAATGAACCGATACTCAATTGCTAGGCAGATACTTGGAAGTGTAGGAACCTGGAAGATGCTGTCGAGGCATTGGTCGTAACTCAACTGTTGAGAAAAGTACTCGGAGGTGGTTCGGAAATTGTGCGCTGCAGCTGGAGTACTGTACCAATCTGACCCACGATTTGAAACCTCGATTTCGAGGCATCAGCATAAAATGCACAACGGTTAGTCAGCTAGTTCCTGTACCATAAGGAGGAAGCTTACTTTCGAAAGCGGGGCTGGATTAATCTAAACAGTACGGTACTAGCACACGTGTGGGTTACCTCCGACTGGCTACTGAAAACCCACGCCTGAACTACTGTATGTATTTACAGGCGCAGACTCGAGGCAGGCACACCTTACCAAACATTTTTCTGCTTTCTAGGATGAGGTGTTTCAACAGCTGACAGTTTCTAATATGTGTGTGCTTATTTTGGGTGTCCAAAATCCTCACGGTTGTTCTAGTCAGTGACAGGGGTTTGTGACAAGCGAGACAGGGGACTCCAAGGGCGTAGACCCTTCCGACTCAACAGGCTTCTCGTGCTTACCCACTTCCTCTGGAAACTTCGGATGCAAGCACACGAAGACTGTTGAAGTAAGATAATAAAACAACACACGGAAATATCGGCAGATATCGAGCATATGATGAACTCATGTAACCCTGTCGTCATGGTGGATTCTGGATTCTGGATTTAAGAGGTGGGGGCAACCCAGTTTGACGACTTCTTCAAGTAAAACTTTCAGACTCGCAACCATGGGTGATTCTAACATATTACTAGACGCCAAAATTACCCCCATCCCTGTCTTGGTAGACGAGAAGGCTTCAAATACACCAGACCGAACCTTCGCCATCATCCCAAAGACAGCTAACATCAACGATGGGTTTCGTGACTATAAATATAGCGAGCTTGCTCAGGCGGGCAATAAGATGTCCTGGTGGCTAGAAAAAGAACTCGAAAAGTCTGTCATTCCAGAAACTCTTGCCTACATGGGGGCTCCTGATTTGAGATACACCTTTCTGTATCTCGCTACACAAAAGACCCGGCGCCCAGTGAGTGCATCTAGATGTATATTCTTTGAAAGACATCAGCTGATAAATTATAGCTTTTATTTCCCCTGAACCAAAATTCGAGAGCAGGACATCTGGGCATTCTTACCGCGATTGGCTGCAAAACATTGCTGGCTTCCCAAGATCAAATCGAATTATGGAATGCCCTTCACCCTGAAATTGACACGTTCAAAGTCCTCGTGGTACCGGAGCTCGAGTATTTCTTGAAAGTCGAAGAAACTAAGGAATACCCTTACAACTTTAGTTGGCAAGATGTGAAAGACGATGTAGGAATTATACTTCATACATCGGGTTCCACAGGTAAGTCCTATCAAAAGAATGCGACGGCGAGTTCTAACATGAGTAGGTTTACCAAAGCCTATCAAATATACAAATCACATGCTCTCCATCTTTGCTACTGATAGTGGAGACTTGGCAACTATGTTTGAGGGGTTGAGAACATTCGTTCCCCTGCCACCTTCTTGGGGCTTGGGGGTGGCGTTCCATATGATTATGTCAATACAATTTGGAACAATCCCGATCTCTCTTCCAACCGACTCTCCGCAGCCATTGACAGCAGAGTACGTTGACAAAGTACACACTTCGGTTCAAGCTGAAGCAGGGGTGTATATACCATATGTTTTAGAGCAGCTTTCGAAAACGCCGGAGTACCTTGAGCACATGAAAGGTTTAAAATACATCGGTTATGGTGGTGCTCCCCTTTCTCGTGAAATTGGCGACATTTTTGCCAAGTTTACTCACGTCCAGCCTATTATGGGATCTACTGAAGCTGGTTCTTGGGGATTACGGAAATCCGATCCCAAAGACTGGATCTACTACGACTTTGATCCCTCTTCCGGCTTCCAGTTCCATAAATTTCAAGATGACTTGTATGAAAGCGTGATTGTCAAGCACAAGGATCCAGAGATGGCCAAGCGACAGTTGGTTTTCTATGTTTTTCCGGATCTTGAGGAGTTTCATACCAAGGATATCTGGAAAGAGCATGAGACGAAGAAAGGATTGTGGCAATATGCGGGCAGGATGGATGATTTCGTCAAGTTGAGCTCATTGACAAAGTTCAATGCAACACATGTAAGTGCCCAATTTCTTTGCGCAGCATATTGTTTTAGGGTACACATTATGGTTTGAATATTGTTTCAACTCAAAGTTCAGACCTATGCAGGGCAATTCCATTTGTTTTTACCTATTTCTCAAGAATCATATTGATTCCGAGTCCCTGCAGGTTGAAGGATTGATTTTGAAGGACCCCAGAGTCACTGGCGCTATCATGGGCGGCGATGGGCAAATGAGACCATTTCTACTGCTTGAACTTGCAGATAACTCAGCACATGAGACGATTGACAGTTTATGGCCAACGATTGAAGCAGCCAACGATTCATTGTCGGCTGAAATTCAACTACAGAAGAACATGGTTCTGCTCACAAAAGAGGGGAAGCGAATGAAACGTGGATTCAAAGGACTCCCAAAACGCAGGGAGACACTTTTGGATTATGCAAAGGAGATCGAAAACTTATATTAAAGAGCTGCTATATAGTTTGAACCTTCCGATAGAAAACAGCACGCCATCTCTCAATACTATTCCGCCTTTGAACCCTCGTAACTGTGATACTTTCGCATAGGGTTTTCTCAGCCTTTCTATCATATCCGTCTAATATTCTCTTATACCTGTCTTGCTGGAGAACCTTTGTCCACGTCAGCCTCCGCTCGTTTATCCTCACCAGTAAAGTCCTAAACAAGCAACCATTCTAAATCTCACAATACCGATATATCCCTCAAAAGTCTCCCCATTCTCGCAGACCAGCCGCTATACCCTCCAAGTCCTCATGTCTACGGAAGTTCCCACTCTCTGAATTCTTCTACCTCTCTGAGTGCATATCTTAAAAGTCGTCTCACGAGAAACAAGTTCTCTAAAAACAACACGGTTTCAAATCCCTGAGCGAAGCCTAAGAAATGACCTGAATTTTCTGATTTGCATGAGTCGTGTAGTGTTGAGAAAATTTTCTGATTGGATCGGAAAATGTGAGCTGCAATTGATATATGTGCGTTCAGGATGCGAGATGACTGTCTTGTATGTGAGATATGGGCGTCCATGGGTTTGAGCTTACTTTACGTGAAGTGGCAAATACAAATCACTCGACAGACTCGGACAGAGTGTCAACAAATTAACGAGTTAACGGAATCTGGATGTTGTTCCGATTCCGATTCCGGTTTCGGGTTACGGCGGTAGTAAATTTACAATGTGTCTCACAGCGTCTTTCGATATCAGCAAGTCCAGGTTGAACCAAATCCATTGGCCCCACCAATTCGGCTTCCGGCTTCAGACCGACACTACCAGCGATAAGAATACCGACATCAAACTGGTCCAAGCGTTATAGTATCGCTTCTTTCATTTCACCCACAGAAGAATCGTGTAAAAACTAGCGAATTGCATTCCAGCTCAACTACAGGCTCTGTTTTGATGACCGCCTGGTCAAGGCCTGTAAATGTGGTACTGATGAATGAAAAATGTCAATGATTACTTATAGTAGGTAAGCGAAATTCCCTGCAAGAAAGATTTCTTCACCAAATCTTGGTACTGTAATTCCTTCTCTGTGTGAAAGATTTCGATTCTCCATTAACAGAGCTTGTAGTTTCTTCAATACAGATCGTGTAGTTTTACCCAAAGAAGTAAGATTTGCCCTACAAAGTATTGAGTTCCTCGTAATGGTCGACTCAAAAAGACACAAGCGAGACTACTAAACTGTAAACCTGGTATATATGATTCCGGACTTGTATTTATAGAGCCAAATCTTATAATAGACGCCTAGCGCCCTTGAACAAAAGAAAATGGACGAGGATTCAAAGCTTCGAAAAATTGCAAAATAATCACTCCAAAGACCGAAACTGAACTTACCAAGAGGCAGGAAAGGAAGGGAATAAAGTAGGTTAACCTATGCAGGGATGGAATCTTCTAACCCGCAAGAGTTCTCCCGGGACCCTCAATAAAAAGATAAAAATGTATCTGTAGGAGAATTCAAGAAAGAGAAAAGGAACGGGGGAAGAAAATTTTGAGAAAAAAAGAATTGTTTTGACCTACGCAGGGCTATTATATGTTAGTACAAGCGCTTCTTCGTGGGTTATTCTAGAGTTCTTACATCGAACCTGCAATCTCTTGATTCGTAGTCAAGCGCCTTGCCATTGGGCCAGCAGGCCATTTCACGTTTTCACATGTGATTATGAGCGAAACTGTGTTGTTTGTGCTCAATGGTGATGCATCTCTGTGGGGACACTCCGCTTCCTTCCGCTGATAACCGAAACTTGGGAGGAATTAAAGGTTTTTATCTAAGCAGAATAATACATCTCAAGAATCCGGATTCAAGTTGTAACAGATCCAAAGGTAATAGGACGTGGGATTTGATGCGATATGCTTGAAAACGCCTGAAAGTATGTGAAGTACCCATGGGGGGTTTCGAGGGTTCTCAGTAGGGATGAAATTCGCCTCAAAATTTCGTGCATCTAAGCCTCCTTTATTCTTTTGTGACTGCTAGGGCCGCCAGTGTATGGACAGCTTGGACTTTTATATAGCCATGCTAACTTATACCATGAACTCTTACTTTTCTCTTTAATATCTCGTGTTAACATCTACATAATGTGATTCATTCTCTAATCACTATAGGACGTCTCTCAGCGACTAGATATTATAATATCGACCTCCATATACTACTACGGCCAAATTACTAAAATACTCTCATTAAGGCATTTGTCTTTTAGTAGCCACAATATAATCTAAAGAAGCTTTTTCCATTGGAAATAGCCACTAGCCTATTAAATTCGAGTAGTCGAGTTGAGTAGTGGCACCTAATCAACTGAACTCGAGTAGTGAAAATCGCTAATCAACTTAACCCGCCAAGTAGTCGATTAACTTATGAGTTACTTGAGTACCGTCCGCCAGATGCCCGAAGCACCCCGACTCGCTAGCCAGTCTCCGGGCGGGCGGTCCACGCACCTGGATTTGGACTTAGCAGACAACCCCTGTATCGGCATATGTCAATTGAGGATGACGGGGGTTTCTTGTATTGTAATCAAGTTATATATAACTACTCGAGTACTACTCAAATAGTCAACTCTACTACTCAACTCAACCTAACAGAATAACCTAATCACACTCATTCCACTTAACTCGTGTACTACTCGAGTAAGGTTAAGTATTTGATTAGTTTTGTTAATACGCTGATAGCCACCAATTTATCCGTATTTTGCTATTACTGCCCAGGATTCCTCTACATAAATAATGGTAATCCAAAAACTTCAACACATTAACTGGAAAGAAATATCTAGAATCTAAAAAATTTAGCACATGGGTTTATCTATTTTAATAAGCTAGTCGGGGTTCATTATCAAAACGTGTCATATTCTACAGGAAGTTGTACTCTTATTCTACCCCCACAGAGCCGTCTTAATCACTTCTAATTAATAAGCTCTCTTGTTAAAGGAGATACATGGTAGTAGAGAGTCTCCCCTTTACAAAACTTGATAACCAAACTTTACTATTAACCCTTTCAGATACGAGAGACAGTAAGAAAACGTGCGGTTCAAAATGAAGTAAATGCGGAGTAAAGTTCCCTACTTTTTATAACTTCTTACCAATAAAACAAAGTCTTTTAGCTAACCAAGCCACATTTCTAGCATTTGAGCATAAACTTAACCCAGTTATCGTGTCCACTTATATCCACTTCGAGTGCACGTCTTTTTGCTACCTCTCCCGCCTTGAAGGGATATACTTTCCTAAAACAAGATTTATGTTACAGCACTGCTTGCGACAGACTATTTATTGGCTACAGCATGGAATCTGATGCTATCCAGTCACTCTAGAAACCTACTATATCGTAGCGTCATGCTCGTACCTCAGTGCGCCGAAATTGTTACTTTCCTCTATAGTCGCGCTTCTCGCTTCCCTATCGCTGTAGCATTACTCGCTTTCAGATTTCCATCTACCGTTGTTAAATAAAAACAATAAAGTGCCATATTAGGGTGTAGTGGGTCGCGATTGCGCAGATAGCAATGATACCTTGTACGTTCGCTAGGGTTGAAGGCTTCATCAATTAAATACCGCCTATTCCAAGCAGCTACTATCGCTGGAGTACTTCCACCTTCCCACGCATTTCAAGTCCTACAGTACCCTTCTGAGTTCCAATCTGACCTCCTGAGTCCTGAATCAAATTTTCTCTTAAATACAAAATCAATGGTAATAATAGTGATAAGAGCGATAATTAGTACTGAAAGAAAAAGGAAATACAAAAGTCATAGATATATGCGCTGGCAAGGCATAGGAGCGTAGGATGGTTGTAGTACTAAAGGAAAAGGACAACAGGCAACGGGGCCAGCTAGGACAGGGTGGTATAGTCCAAAGCGGTTGATTAGTAGTAGATGGACTTTTTCTATAGGGGATGTTTTTATACCACGTGAGGACTACCGACCTACAATAGCTAGCGGTGGGAGCAGGAATCATCAACAACTTTATATTTCCTGCCCGAGAGCAGGAAGCGCTGTTCTCGCCCACCACCATCCCCAATTTGTATACCACCATTTGTATCCCTACTGCTGTACTACTGTTTTAGCCAGCCTTTTTGTTACTGTTTTTAGGAATAGGAATAGAAAGAGCGTGTGGCACCCCGGGGCTCTCCAAACCCCTGGTGCTGGTCCCATATATGTGTCCCCTTCTCCCTCGTGAGCACTAAGCAGGACGAACGTGGATATAAAATCTATTATATGTTGAAGCATTGTTTACTAAGTCCGTGAAGTGGTGGCCCTATCCGGCCATGTCCGTTCTGTAGCAAAGGTCCTCCTCATTGGTTCGCTCACATACGCCACACCCCCGAGCCGAGATAGCCTCCGAAGCCGAGCGTTACGTCCTCGTCACACGTCGTGTACGTCAATGATGTAGGTACTTAATGATAGTGATTCTCTTCTTTGTGGAGTTTTTGAAGAGCAACAATCCTCACGTTCTATGGTTTTAGCCCTCCTTCAATTTCTCCCTCAAATATACCCACGCCTACACCCATCCGAGTCGCAATGCCTATACATGTTCTGATTAGTGGAGCAGGCGTTGCTGGACCGGCATTGGCCTGGTTTCTGGCGAAATCCGGCTCACGCGTTACAATTGTTGAGAAAGCCCATACTTCCTTTTCACATGGACAAAATATCGACATTAAAGGCAGCGCTGTTCAAGTCATCAAGAAAATGGGACTCTTAGAGGAAGTCCGACGGTTCAATACAACGGAAATGGGCACCCAATTCATCGATTCTAAGGGAAAACCGTTTGCTCCTTTTCCCGTCCAAAAGGGTCTTGGTGCTAGCTTCACCTCGGAATACGAGATTCTTCGTGGAGACTTGGCCGAAGTTTTCCACCAAGCTACAAAAGACCATCCCGATATCAAATATTATTTCGGTACCACAATCAAGAATGTCATATCAAACAACGACACATCAGTCGAAGTGGAGTTGAGCAGTGGAGACACGCAGCAATTTGACCTCTTGGTTGCGGCAGACGGCCAGTGGTCCAAAGTACGGAAGCAATGTTTTCCCTCAGATTCTGTCAAAATGATTGACTTGGGCATGTACTCCACGTACTGGACCGTTCCTCGCCTACCGAGCGACAATAGCTGGTGGAATATTTACTTAGCTCTGAAAAGCCGGGACATCCATCTGAGACCTGATCCACACAACACAATAAGGGCAATGTTCACTATTATGCCGTGTAACGATTTCCAGAAAAGGAGATGGAAGGAGGCGTGCCGGAGTGACAGACAAACTCAGGAGGAGCTTTTGAAAGAGGAGTTTGCCGATGCTGGATGGCAGGCTCAGAGGCTCTTGGAGGGGATGGAAAAAGCACCAGACTTCTACTTCCAAAAAATTCAACAGGTGAGGATGTCCAAATGGTCTTCCTCTCGTGTTGTGTGCTTGGGAGATGCAGCCAATTGTCCCTCACCGCTCACGGGCATGGGCACCTCGCTTGCCATAATAGGAGCCTATGTTCTTGGGGGCGAACTGAGCAAGCTGGATAATGGCGAACATCCTTCAAAGGCACTTGAGTCATACGAAAGCATCTTTCGACCCTTTGTCGAGGAGATACAAAAGATCCCATGGTTTGTTCCTGGAATTGCACATCCGGAGACGGCATGGAAGCGGTGGTTAGTGCAAAGTATGGCATGGACAATTTCCAAAATTGCGGCAATTCCCTGGGTGGCGGGGAGATTTGGACCAAAGAGCGATGAAGAGGATTTCCAGTTGCCACTTTATTCGAGCTTTGAGAATGTCTCCTAGTAAAAGCATCATTTACTTTCTATTGGTAGGGGCTGAGTAGATAGTATACCTTTCGATGGAATTCTTTTAGACTCGTTATTTGTAGATACTTGAATTATACTCCACTTTACCTAATGGGGAAAAGCTCTCAGAGTCAGGCAATTAGAGAGCGCCCAAGAATATTTCGTTTGTGAATACCTATATAGCTCATGTAGCGTCCTTACTCAGATCTCGGCATTGCATCGAAACACTGCAAGCTCATCAATTAGGGCGCATGGCTGGGGCAACAGATTATTCTCATAGGAAAGAGTAAATTGAAGATGATTCATGCGGCTGAATTATTCCGCAACTTTGCTTGCATTTACAGATTGAACATGCACCTTTCACTTTTAATTATCTGTGGAGGAACTGTATGCTGATGAATTATTTGGAGCGCATGACGCGCATCTCACCCACACCAACCACACCAGACTTCTCGCTTAACCTGCCCACCTCTTTTACACCAAAAAACCCCCAAAACCATCGAATAAAATAGCAAAACCTCTAAAACCGGAAGGTTGCAGTAGGGGAAACTCTCGCCCGAAGGTGGTTTCTTAAAAGGATACTGTGGTATGAAGTCATAGGGTCCGTGAAGAGTCCGGAAAGAGACCCACTGGGTTCATCACTGGGCCATGCCTTCCCAACCGTAGCTGAAGCCACCGTGCTTTTTTGCAGATATGAAGGAATTTTGGGATGAGGCAGGGGGAATGTGCTAAGACAGAGTGCGTGCTTCATTGGCTAAGGCACAAGCACGTGCCTGCTGATCCCAGGAAAAATGAAGACAGACCTCTTGATAGACAATCACTTATAGGCAATGCCACCTGTAGCAAAATTCATATTTACAACTTTATATCAAAGAAAGAGTATTTTTAATAAAATATCCTTGAGCTACTACGTATGGAATCCCAATTGAACACTTAGGTTAAAAACGATTAAATAGCAAATTGCATAAGACTTTATAAATTAGGAGGAGCCAGAGAATAGAATCAGTCTATCAAATTTCGTCTATGTATTCTACAAAATACAAGTCCTCTACGAGTATGCCCTCTTATGCCCCCTTTTGGTATCCCTATTTCCGTACCCCTCCTCCCGACCCCGATTAACAAATACCCCCTATTCATTCTCGTTGTCGCTTCTGCAAAGTGGTGTCGCAAAGAAAGAGAAGATGAAGTGAGAGAGAGAGAGAGCGAAAAAAGGAGTAGTGGTATACACGTGAGAATTCCTAGGCACGTGAAGTCTAGGTGTGGGGGAGTGAGGGTATAGGCAAAATAGTAGCTGTAGTAGCAGTAGTAGACATAAAGATTTTGCGATTTGCGATTTGCGATTTAGTCATCTGGTTTAGTGGTAGATTCAGGATGCTGTAACAGTCAGGATACTGTAATATGTCTAATAATCACGAGAAGAAGAATTGTTTTCATAATACGAGAAATTCAATTTGATATATTGGAATAAGAAAAGTAAGAGATAAAACGGTAATGTACTAATCTGACTAAAAGAAACACAACATGTAAAGCAAAATCGCTCGTATCTAGAGACACAGAGGGAAAGTACTAGTCTGACTAAAAGAAACAAAACATGTAAAGAAAAAAACGAGCATCTACCACTGATCTACTAACCACGAAATGAAATCATTGAAGAATACCAAAGGCATAGTCTGAACAACCTCTATTTCTTCCCTGGAAGGCCATTGATATTGAAAAGAGCGACATTTTTCGCCTCATCGCCAATTTGAAGGTTAATCACCCCAAATGGACTACCGAAAGTGCTGCGTTTTTTGGGCTCATCGAATTTTTGAATGTTTATAAATCCGAAGGGTTTGCCAAAGTAACTGCGTTTATGTGGTTGATTTTTTGGTTCAGTTGATTGGATCCTAATTTCGTGGTTGGCAACGACAGAATAAACAGTCTGCTTATCGAGAAACCCGTATTTGAGTTCGTGTGTTGTTTGGGCGGCTTGATGAATGGCATTTGTGCAAAGGTCCATCAAATTATAGTTTGGCAGAACCTCTGGATCGGCGCAAGTGAAGGTAACAATGAGATGCAAGTATTTCTTCTCATGGATGAGAGTGAGTCCTTTTTTGTGGGTGCCTTGGATGTTGTAGTTGAATGTGCCCGATTTATCAGTCTGGTGAGGATCGAATTTCGTGACCTCTCTACATATCGGTATGGCCCACTTTCTGTCGAGATTTCCAGCCTCTAGAAAATTGGTCGGAATTATGTCGAGATTTGGTCGATCTCCGGTTTGGTCGAAGAACCCCACATCTGGTGGAGCTCGAGTTTCAAGGCCGCGCTCGCTTATTTTCGCAGCAACTTGAACTCCTGGAACAATCAATGGGTGATGCAGACACGACGCCTAACTCCATGGCAAATGCCAATACTTGATAAAACTTCATGGTGGAGGGAAAAGACGCCGTTGACTAATGGGGGTCTTGGTCGTGGGAGGTATGAGTTTAATGAGGGAGATGAAGAGGCCTTCTGTAACACAGCGAAAACCTGAATTCGTTGATTTGTGTATTTGACCCGAAAATGAATCAGAAGAGGATTGAAGTTGCGATGAAGGAAAAAGACCGGTGGATGGAGAACAATTCTTATATATATAGACAAACTATCGAGCTTGGAGAAATGTATACCCTATCCAGGCAGAGCGCACCAGCCTTCAAACGATGGCGTAAAATTCCCTACTGTATCTAAGCGGCAAAAGACTTGCTCCTGTTAAATTAAAGAAGGCGCTTTTTTGGATTGTCCTCCTCCTTCATCATGTAATTCATAGGTGTCAAATATCTGCTTAAATCTTTTTCTTCAGACAAAGAAAAACCACCATACTTCAAGGATCTGAATCCTGTGTCACAATTTTAGTTGGGGCTGTGTGTTGGTAATCAACTTCTTCCCGCTCAATCTGGAGGCTTGAAAGAACCCGTCCTGCAGACTTGGGCAACCCCTGGTACTGCGAACAAGATATTTGCCTCACGCATTTCTTTGTAGAATTGAGCCTTTAAAATATTTTCTCAACAGCGAACTCGTGTTTTGCCTTAATTTGCAAATTTCTTTATAACTGACGCAGTAATGCTTCTTGCTAGGAAGCAAAGGATAAGAAAGTCCATCAATGTCTGGAAAATAGATATGAATCATTAATTGAGACACTCGGAAGTTGATTCTTGGGAAGAGGGTTCTACTCCTGTCCTCTGCCCTCCGCATGTATTACTCAAAGGGTGAAAAAAATCCTTCTCCATTATTGAAGGTATATTTGACAATTATTAGTCCTTCGTATTAGACGCAAATAACTTGCTTGGCGTTGGCCGTAAATTAAGCGACCGTGGTTTACAGTCAGGAAAATCATCAACCTCAAGGTTAGGAAAAGGTCAACGTATAGCCCCTGAATCAAAACATCACGGTTGAAAAAGAAAATGAGTTCAGCTGACTACATTTCCAGTTTGTGCTCACATGGTAATGTAATGCCAAAGAAAAGTGGTGTGGGACAAGATCTCAAAACCCCACGCGAGATTGAGATTGCCTTAGATGAACGTCAGTACTTGGTGGCTACGCTTCTGTAACAAAGGTCTCGTATAGATTGCTAAAAGCTAGGGTTTAGGCAACAGTTGTGTCACAATTTGATGTTACTGAATAAATGGGGAAGTTGGTATGTCCAACTAACATTCGCTGTTATTGGAAGGGAAGCCTTGAGTAACGAAAGGATTCGACTGGGCCGCACCGTATCATTCGCAATTCTATTAATCTACAGTAGGTACATCGAGCTCTTCCCTGGTGTCTCCTCCTATTTCACTTCAAAGTATTCGAGGTGACATCTTACATGCCCCGAGCTAAAGTAATTTTAAAACCAACTTCCTTCGAGGCTATGACAAGTTACAATCCCTACAATTAGCAACTGGTGGTTTCTGCTAACCATTGCTTCAAGGCGTATTTTGGGCAACGCTATCGTCCATAAGGCAGAATCTCACATTTTAAAGACGGTTGTTCAGTTGTCGTTCTTGGTATAAAATGGTCTGATATCTGCCGAACCTCCAAATCCAAAGAAGTTTTTTCTTCTGCAACATCTTTATCTTTCTCTCATCTCAAAGTCAACATTAAACCCTAGTCTCTGGGGTCTTTGAAGTCTCCTTGCTTTCCGCCACAATCCTTCACGATGCTACCCCAAGCGTTCCTCAGGGGATTGCTAGCAGCTTTGCTAGTTATACCTTTAACTACTCTGGCATCTCGTACCCAATGTACTGGGAAACAATGCTGCATCAAACGCGACTTTATACCACGAGTCAACCGGAATGTATCCACAGATAGTTCTCACATTTTCAACATACCCAGAGCCCTCATAGAGCTGCCAAACGATGAGTTGAAGCACCATTTTGTTAGTAAAACGGTCAACGCTCTTTCGACAAGGAAGAAGATTTATGACGACGAAAACTCTTCTGGGGATAGTACAGCGCTATGGAGATCGTTTATGCGCAATGGAAACTACCTTCAGACCCCTTTCCAAATTGGACTTAAACATCTTACGGGATGTAAATCTATTGTGATAATCGGACATGGTGGGATCTGGGCTGGCCATATTTTTGAAGACAGTGGTATGGATCCAGCAAACAAGGCTTACGCTGAGAAGCTGATGTCGTCCGGTGGTAAAAGGTTTGATGTTTTCTCGAACCACGTTTCGGAATTGAATGAGTCTCCAAAAAGCGGCCCGGGGTATCTTCCTGAAGTCTTCATTATCAAAACACGAGGGGGGTCACCAGTACCCTATGACCCGAAGGCACCAAGGGACGAAAGATCCTGAGACGAACTTGGCTACGATGAGAACCAACAGGAATACCAGAGAGAGTACGGCGTCATTTCCCAGGTGATACGGAGTCACTGGCCACAAATTATCATTCGTGAGCACCGATATCATGCGCTCAATCCAGACAATACCTCAGATAGAGATAGACTGCAAAACAGCGCTGCGGGGAAGATCCTTTTTGAGTACGATGCGAAAGCAGGAGGGCCATTTGAAATTCGACTTCACCTGGACTTCTTCGAACGGTTCTTCCTCCAATTTGAGTTAGGAAAGGTGACTCATTGTAGTCATCGTATTTGCTTCGGCGTTGCAAAATTCAGTCTGAGAGTTGGTTTTTGAGAGTAGGAGAGTTCCCTTCTCATTTGTTAGCAATTGATGTTTTAGTTCCTTATGCGGAGGACAATTCCGAAGGAACCAGGATGCTAGTAATTTAGTATGAGATTAGATCTAAGAATACAAGTATTGTTCAGGCGCAACTAAAGGCACTTCAAACCTCGGCGTTACTGCCGGTCTGACCCTCATCCACAGAGTATATCTCTAAGATATCCCTTACCGACTTTGAGGTTGCATAATCGATAGGCCTGATCCCACCATTGTCCCTAATCTCCGTATCTGCACCTTTCTCTAATAACCACTGCACTCGTAGGAAAACATCTACATTCAGACAACCCAGTTTCCATCCACAAACAGCCCAGTGAAGAACTGTACCGGCCTCAGCCATTCGTAATACTGATTTCCCATGCTGAGGGATACCTGGCTCGGTGTCGTCTAAGACCTCAGCACGATCGTTGATATCTACCCCCTGCGTAGCAATAAATCCATTTGCGCTATGCATGCATCGTCGTCTACAATACCAGTTGTCGTGTGAAGGAAGTTGGAATGCTTGAGATCAGCGCCGTAATCGATGAGCAATGAAACGATCGCAAGACTTCCACACCACTGGAATGGAAGCTGGCCACGACGACCATGCCGATTATGACCATTTGGATCCGCTCCCTTTGAGAGAAGATATCTAGTCAAGGCCTCGTCTCGATTCGTCTGACTATCTAAAATCAGCATTTCGGTAATCTAAGTAACTCGAGTTTGTGCTTTCATACCACAGCACTCCCGGACAATCTTTGATATCCAAATCATGTTCAAATAGTACTTCGAATACCCGAATAGCAGCATCTGTATCTTTGTGCCTTGTTGCACTCTGAACTGCACTTATTGGCTTTGCACCGTGCTCCAACAAACATTCGACAATTTTGGCAAGGCCGTTTTCAGCTGCCATAGCAACACGAAAATCTAGTTGCCTGGTGATGTGCTCCTCGTGCCGCTCGCGATCAAAGCCTGAAAGCGATGCTATGATCGAAGACAGATTTCAAAAGCTCTAGATCTCCAGAAATGCATGCTGATGCTAGCTTTTCTTCAGAAATTCTACTCTGATTGTCTATTTCCTGGAGGAAGGTAGGTGATAGAGGTTCTGGTAATGGAGAGCAAGCTGGATCGGGAGAACTATTTTCAGTTTCGCGGAAATGTGGCATGATGAAGAGAATAATGTCGTTACCTTTCTGGAAGAATATTTTAAGTTGAACTGTAGGATGGGTTAAACTTGGGATAGAGATTGTTTGGTGTTGGTGGATTGTTGGTTTCATCGGGGTTTAGGAAGGAAGTATTTCGGAGTTACTGTACTGTATCTTGAGCTGAGAAAAAAACATTCACCCAATCAATACTTTTAGAGTGATTGAAAAAACGTGCACTCAAGGTGGATACAAATACATGCGATAGGTATGTGAAATTGAGGCTCAAATGCCTAGACACGCCGCCCTGTTGGCCAAAAGACTTTATTTACGGAGTGAATGATGTACTATAAAAGCGGACACCTTTACTTCAATTAGAAGTGCATGTTTATTCAGTTCCTTTATCGTCTCAGAGGCACAAAGCATTGGGCAGACCCGGCAGATTCATGATAGCAGGCCCAGTTTATCGCGTAGTAAGTGACCATCGAGAGTGGCAGAATTGTCTCCGGTTGTTCCAACATTTGTAGCCAAGATTGCGGAGGATGGCATTTGGTGAAAATGCGCATCTGATATCGAGAACATTGAAATTGAGTAGTCCCAAGGAGATCTCGGGTGTCTCGGGTGTATCATATTGATCAAGCAAGTAAATTACTTGCCTCAAACTTGAATATCATATATGCCGACACCCAGCAGTTGACCCAATCAACCCTGCCTTTCAACCAATTAAGCCTCAATTATACCCACTTGTTTGATTCACTGATTCACCGAAACCTTTTACGTCGTAAACTTCGGCCACGTCCGCTCGCTTAGTAGCGATCGCCAGATTAGGGTGGGACCAAGCGCCTATTTTAGGAGCCTTATCATTTCTATTCTCAGAAACGGGCTATCGGCCGAACGTAAAACAAACGACGTGTTGGTTCTAGGATTAATAGGAATATTATATAACTAAAGATTACTCCAGTAGGAAGATTACTCCTCTATCCCTTTCTATTTATTATTTCTCATCTATTTGTTGTTAATTTATATTCTCTCGTTCAGATTTACTTTCCAGCCACTTTATTGTTTTATAACACTCTTTCCTGCAACAGCCAATAAACCATTCATCAAACACAACCATGCAGCTCACCAACTTCGCAACAATCGTCCTCCTCTTTACCTCCGCTCTATCCGTCATTGCTCTCCCACTCCAGTAAGCTTCCTTCTTATCCGATTACTGTTCATATCGATTAACAGAAACTAGACCTGGAGGTGCGACACTTGAAGCCCGACTAGTACCGGAAGACATCGGATATGTACGAACGGAGAAACGTCTGCCAGGGAGGCTAAACCAGTGGTGGGAAGGTAAAAAGGCCCAACATAATATGAAACAATTTCTCAAGGGATTGGACAAAGATAAAAAGAAGCAAGACAAAACGTTAAAGAAGGTAGAGAAGGCGAAGAAGAAGTACGCCGAGAAGAAGACTGATCGTTACCCGGACTCCCCCATCTATTAAGATGCTCCGCAAGAAGCGGGGCATGCTTTAGAAGATGAAAGCGGGGTATACGAGGAGGGAAGCGACTCGCTGCCTGAATATGGACGAGATAATGTCGAGGACGGCGATAATTTGAAGGAGTAAAGCCCCCTTCTGGACCTCTTCGATCAAGTCGTTAGACTAACGTAAGGGAATAGCGTAGCAGTTTAAATAGGGAGCGGGGTAGAGAGAGACGCTACCCGGTGTATATTTCTTCAGGATCTCTTTTGCCACATGTATTAGGCGTTATGAGGGGGTATAGACTGGGACAGATAACAAGAATTATAATGATAATGATGACTTTACTTTTGAGTCAATCGGAATGGCAAACAACCTTTCCATGGCCTCCCCAAAAAGTACAGGAGCAAATCAAGTTAAGAAACTGAATATACAAAGACAAGTACAGTATATTCGTGAAACCCTACAAATACTTTTTTTTGATTAGGAAAACAATACTACTGCTACTTCTGCGCAATGAAAAGAAGGCCTATATAGCTCTACCTTATTCACCGAACAGTTCACTCACCTCCATTACTCCTTAGATTAGAAGTGAATTCAGCGAGAAATGGAGTACCCAAACTTAACTTGTGTATAATAGTGCATGCAAAAACGCCCATTTAAAATCCTCACATCATTGCATCCCAGAGAAGGACTAATAAAGATAACTTTACACCTCTCTGTGCCTCAGCAACCTTCTAGAAACCCATCTCATACATCATTGCTGGTAGATTTCATTCGCTGAATATTATGAGATTCGCGAATTCTGTCTCTACTCCAGCAGCTTTTGAAGTCTATAAATTAATTCTTAGAAAGCCTTATTGACTTAAACTAGATCCTTTCTTGGCTTTTTTTCTACCTCTGGTAAACATCATCAATTCCGAAGTACAAGAAAGCCAGGATTAGTAAAGCTGGATGTTGGTTTTGATAGATTAATTATAAGTGGTTTATAGTGAATGAGAAAGAGCGGGGAATATATAGATGTTCCCCCTCATATTGCAACTCCTCAATCATCAACACCACAACATTATCGTCAGTCACACTATTGGAGCTCTTCTTCCCACCCGCTTGCCCCTCGCTAATTTCTCGCCGTGCTGTGTACTAGCGCGGGCTAGCCTGAGGCTATGTGCCTCTTTTATTAAGAACTGTGTGTTCTTCCTTTTTACAGGCTGTGTGTCTAATTTTAGATAGTTTTTCTGCTCCCTAACGGGACGCGAGGCCGAGAGCGCTTTACCCTTTGATTATTCCATAAAATGGAACCTTCTGATTGGTCCCTATGTGGAGAAGTATAAGCGTTTGAAGCTAGCAAGCAAGTACAAAATAAAACCAACAATAAGCCTCTCATCTGACCCATGACGAATGGACGATAAATAATTATGTATATAATTGATGAATAAAATAAACCAGTGCACTCAGTCATCCCTCTACCTCGCTACTCACCCCTCTAGTTGGCTTCTCTAAGAAAAAGAAGGAAATGAAAGAATAAATACAACTTGAATACCCCTGGTATCGATGCGAAAGCGAGCGTTCGCGGATATAATGTTTGCCCTAATGGCTTGGAAGCTAGACCTTTTGAAGGTCAAATCCTTACCACCCGTCTTGGACTCTTTCGTATATTAAACCAGTCCCTGCAAAATGCTGGTCGTAAAACTCCAGCAGCAAACGCATCAGTGTCCGAGATACTATTCCAATCGCTGAGTTAATGCGAATTGGATCCGGAAGAGCTCTGTCAGGGAGGGAGATCGGAGATTCAAGAAAGTACATAGAGGGACAGTAGATTTTAATTGTATTTAGTCCGCAGAAATCTATGAAAACCCCAGACTCTGGACTTACATATCTGAAGCCAGGGCACTCTTGGAAATTTTGCTTTTTTAAATCTGCCATCTGGACCATGGGAAATGAAAAACTTCTGGATTAATCGTGACCATAAAACTTTTGATTAATATTAAAACGCAGGATTTAGAGACACCGTGTTTGCCAGACTGCCTAGGCTGTAAGTGAGAAGAGTGGATTTCCAACAGCCTACTCCCAATCTCAGACAGCAACGTCGGGAAATTTAAACAATATCAGACTCATCACCCGAATCCCCCTCAAACCCCATCACCATCTCCTCACCCAACACCACACACATCCCTCAACCCCTCGCATCCCAACGCCAAATCCTCAAACCTCAACACAAACAAAGTAATCTCTCCAAACGACCGGATTCTGTACCTGCACCATTGCATTCCACAACACAAACTGTTGGATATCAATACCATGCTGGATAAGAATCTGGTCAACAGTAGTCCCCTCGCCGACGAGCTGAAACGTCTTGCAGAACGCTGTGATCTGGGGCATGATGGGGACCGGGGTGGAAGTTGCGTTGACGATGGCTCCGGGTGGGTATTGGATCAAGGGTGGTACGAAGCTGTACCATAGCGTTGCGATGCAGACGGGGACATAGGCGCGGAGGCTGATGCAGGTTTGTCCGACGTCCCTGTGTGCCGTACTTGTTAGGTATGTGAGCATAGAGGGATCGAGAGACTTACGGATTCCATTTGAAGAATTGGGTTAGTGAGAAGCTGTTGAATTTGGCGGCGATGGATAGACATGTCTCCCCTAGTTGGACTTCATAGAATGAAGTGCCTGGGAATGATTAGTCTCCTCGTCGACTTCACGCTTTCTCGTTTAAGGTTCTTTTGGTAGACTTACAATCGTATGGTACGTGAATGCAAACGGTCCCGGCATTCACACTGGCATAAGTCGTGCAATTATCTGGTATTAGAGGGCCTTGACGGGTCTCGAGTTCCTTGTACACAACAGGAGCCAAAGGATTAGCAAGCGCCACACCAACAAAAAGAGCCAGGGAAGTGAGTGAGAGTTGCATTCTCGTTGTAGCGAGAGAAAGAGATACAAGAGATGAACTTGAGTTGCAAATATGGGTAATGCAAAACTAGGAGCCCTCATTCTTTATATACTTCCTCGAATCCCAAGAACTTGCGCTCCTTCGGAAGGGATCACCCATCGAGTACGGCCAGAACGGCATCCGTCAGACGACGGGAACCAGTAACTTCACTTACCGTTTTGGCAATACACTGTACAAAGCTGTTGAAAGGTGTTCGTCGAGTCACTTGAAAATACAAGGGAGGTCCATGATTGGATATACTTTGTGGGGAAAAGCCCAGCAAAGTAAAGTGTTGTTGGTGGCATATTTTATCTCAATCCCAGATACCATGGTTGGATAAGGTTTGTGGGGAAAAGCCCAGGAAAGTAAAGTGTTGTTGTTGTCATCTCGTCTCTCACTCCCAAATCTGGGGCTCTCCCGTGGACAAAATAAGTGGGAGAATTTTTGTCCTTGCGCTTTCACCAATTTTCATAACCCCATTCATGGAAAGTGCTATGAAAATAAGTAGGAGTAAAGTTCTTACGTACCTACCTCAAAGGAGAGCCCAAGTTTTTACAACCGTTGTAGGACAATTATTTTTTGTAGACTGTGAAAGGAGGGTTGGGAAAGTTTTGAGTACTAAAAGAATTCCTGGGTACAACAGCCGCAACACATCTACATACCAAACCATTGCACTAGATTCCAAAGTATACACTTCTATTACAAGTTCATAGAAACTATTCCAGGACAACTCCTAAGACTTTTACCAGTGCAGGGGTTGCAAAGACAAACGCAAGTACTCGGTACTATTCCCATAGGCTCAACCTCAACGCCATCACAATATAAGCTTCGCAATCGGTCGATTCGGAGAAATTTCCCCTGCGCGCATTGTACAGGCCTACTCTGTGGCAGGTACCTTGTAGTTGCGGTTGGAAATGTACATGTTGGGTAGGGAGAGAGGGTAAGTACCTTTTTTGAAATGACGGCATTCCTAGTCTTGGCGTATCTATCTGTTCTAGCTAGTCTAGAAATGCTCGTAGGATAGTGAGAGCTAGATGGAAGGTTTACTTTGGGATATGTATTGTTTCCAAGGTAAGTATTACTAGTCCTTATGAACAATTTAGAGATTTCTTAAAAGTTAATAGTACTTACTTCTATTATCACCAACTACAGTAGAATAGTTCGAAAGACATAATAGAATACCTAGTATAGATACATCATACATTCCTACTATCTCTATATAACACTAAACCTCGCAACCATTACATTAGACTTTAATAACTCTCTTAAAACCCCGCTTCCCCTAAGATAGCAAAAAATAAAATGCATAATTAAAATATCCTTTAAACCAAAAGCCCCTTCTAAGAATTGCTATAACAAACATATAACAACATCCCCGTTTACTCGTATATAAATAAAGTAACATACTAAATCCTCCACTTACTCCTTTACCTCCAAGTATTCCCACCACCATCAAGGAAGGCCAAGGATTAACAGTTATTACTGGTACACTTCCTCCCCGACCAGTGGTTCACATCCTCACTCTAATAAACTTCAATATAATATAAACCCAACAGTCCTGCGCCAACACCGAGGCTGATAAGCCACTGTAACGAGGGGATGTCTATCGTTATCCATCTAGTTATTATTTACTTGTACTCGTATAGTATAGTACCTATAAGTACCTACATCAAGATCTCGTTTAGGCAAACTAGCATGATATAATCTATACTCCGAGCGAAAAAACAACAAGGTATCCCACCGACCGAGTCTTGTAGCCCCCACGTTTCTCTTCACCACCAACTACTTGGTACCGTAATCTTACTACCACAAGCCACCAGCCCACCAACCCAATACCACAAAGCTCCGGCCTATCCATCTATCCGACAAGTAATCCATGCATCGCTCTAGACTTCAATGACGTAGGTATTCCAAAACTTTCATTTCATTTCATTTCGTCGTTAGGTATGTACCTACGATACAATACTGAATAGCCTTTCTCTTCCTCCGAGCGTAATTAGTACAGTACACAGTTTCTATAGATGAACACGAGCTTTTATAACATATACAGGTAGGGTGAATGGAACCTGGGCCTAAGTGGCATATATGTAAGATTACTGTACTATGAATAAGCAGTATGTAGTCGTCCTTCGGGACATTGAGTACAATAGTAATCAAATTATAAGTTAAATCCAACTTCTTTCTACACATACAAAGAAATCATAATAAACAAGGTCCGGTCCAAAGCCCTTAAATACGTACGTAATTTACGTACCTAAGTGGGGGTATGAAGCTCGGACCTGAGAGGTGTATGTATCTATATTAGGAATAAGCAGTCTTGCGGACGTCCTTTAGGAATCAGGACAGTTTGGGCTAATAAAGTTATCGAATATATTCATTCATTCATCCACATATCTTCGACCGACCACCACCAAACCCCACATCCCCACATCCCCTTCCCTCCACACGAAAGCTCATTCAGAAACCGCGAAATGCAACATCCAAGCACTGCCATCTTACCAATACCAACCCTCACCATCCGACTACCCCCTCGCAAACCACCACCTCCATATCTCCATACCTCCCCATTTTCACTTTTATTTAGCCCTGCACCCCCCTCCAAACCCCTCATACTCCCCCAAAAACGGACCGATCATCCGCTATCCCCACGTGCTCGGTCCCTCTACGGGCCTACCTACTCGTACTACAAATCTTGCTTAAGTTAACCTCCTACTTATATATATATATAACGTAGTCCACAAGCGAGTTGGATTCCCAAGCGAAATGGATTTTTTTCTTGGCATTTTATAAATTCTTAAATATCTCACGACACAATTAATTAAATTAATTACAGTATTCAGAATCGGAATCCTCACATATTTCTTCCCCTTTTTGACACGTTCGTATGTTATGGCCATGTTTCCCACATAGTCCACAGCGCCGGCGAGGTACTAGACTCGGGCTCGTACAATTACTATTTTCTACTAAAACCACTTGTTCTTGCGAATCAACATTACTAAGGACCCCTAAATCTTGCGCATCTTGGAGAGTAAGTGATCCTCCTTCCTGTAATCGGCGCTTTTTCGTACGACGACGCCGACTAAGTTGATCATTTGCTGTACGAAGTGTAGCATTCTCAGCTCGTAATAAAGCTACCTCAGTGATTGCACGCTGTGCACCCTTTGCAAGCTGGTCTAGGCCATATAGAATCTGGGTCGGAGAACTATCTTGGTGTCGTACGACCTTGTTTTGTATATATGACGTCTGGGAATATGCCTCTGTTATGTTATTTGGGGTCTTTGGTTCCCAAATAGCTAGGAGGCTTGTTGAGGTAGATGGACGTGACGGAGTCCTTGGACGTATATCAAGCTGTGAAATCACAGAATCTGGGTCGTACGGCACTAAGCCAGATCCTCGAAATCCTCCTCGAATGTTTGATTCAGTCATTGTCGTACGAAAGGCAGTATAGAATGTTGATAAGAAATCCTCCTTAGAAACATATGTAATGTGGAGTCGCATTAATTTCTCAAGTTCAGCACCGTACGACCTTTTTAACGCTCGAAAACATCCTACATCGAGTGGCTGGAGTCTATGAGAGGAATGAGCTGGCATGCAAAGAGTAATAATGTTATTACTCTTACAAAAAAGCTCAAAATCGACTGAGTGGTGGCTTTCATGGCCATCAAGCACAAGCAGCCGGTGAATGCCCTTCGTACGAAGCTTTGTATGCCGATCGAAATGAAAAATCCAATCTAGGGCTCGCTCATTTGTTGTCCAGCCATTTGTAGTTACAGCAATTACCCAGTCGCGTGGTAATTGGCTGTTTTCGTACCAGGAGGAGAGGTGGTTCTTCCCCGCCAAAATGATATATGGAGGCACTACAAAGCCGTACGACCCAACACCTTGAATTACTGTTGCCCATTCCCGGTTTCCTTGCTGTACTGTACGAGGCCGAGAAAGCCTTTCGGTACTTGTAACAACCATTTCTGATGTAATTTGGCCCATACAAAACCCAGTCTCGTCAAAGTTATAAATATCCTCCTCCTGAATCCCATATTTGTCAATTATATTTCGTACGAGGCGAAACCACGCGTTATACGCGTCTGGATTTTCGCATTGGACTCTTTGATAATCAATCCTTCGATTAAAACGCGTCTTAAGTTCAGGTTGTCGTCGTACGAAGTTCGAAGTCCAGTTCTTGCCAACGCGTCCTGCACCCCGCTCCGAGAGGATACGATTCGCCATATCTTCAACACAACGTACTCGTGGGGGAAATGATCGAGAATCTAGGTCGAGAATATGTCGTACGATAACTATTTCTTCAATCTCTGTAAGTTTTCGAGATTTAGCGATAGAATCTTGTCGTGATAATATTCCATGAGTTCGATTAAGCAATGTCGTATAAGGTACTTTATAGATCCGCGCAACCTTCTTAACTTTTAAATGTGGGTTCGTACGAAGCGTATTTAGCGCAAGAATCATATCAGACTCTGTCCAATGCTTAACCATTTTGTTTGTTAAGAAAAAACGCGCTCTGAATAAGTTTGTGGAGTGCCAAGAAAAAAAATCCATTTCGCTTGGGAATCCAACTCGCTTGTGGACTACGTTACTGTAATATATCAAGACTAGAACAGGAAGTATTATCATTACATGCCAAGCCGGGAAACAAGATTTCAGAGGCTAAGTCCTAGAACTGGGCTCTTCTGGGATGGTGAAGAGGTATAGAGAAAGCGGAGACGAGCGGAGGAGGCAGGGACATCACAAGTAATCTTACAGTTATAGGTACGAAAATTAATGGACAAGACCATGGGGATGCAAAAGATCTATAGCAGAAATTCAATATAGCAGAAGAAGAACGTCCATAAAGGGACCGTTATGGCTCACGAACTGAGGACCTTGGTAATAGTACAGAAGAACCCCAAATCCAAGTCTCAATTCAAACACCGTATCCGAGAACAATTTCAAATCCTTCCCCCCAGAGACAAAAGAAATCGTGAAATCCAATCCTTGCGCAGCAATCGATCAAAAGTGTATTCTCCTAGTAAAACTTATGGACCATGTCCATGACAACATTTACAGTTTCCCGGTGGATGTCTAAATGAGGGCAGGATGTCCTCCCTCGGAAGGAGCAAGCTTTTGGATGTCACGGCCCATGATGATAAAGAGTTGGGCAAAGATGGCGAGGACGAGGACGGCATATAGAGCGATTTGGAGGAACAAGACCTTGACGTATGCCTTGAGAAGTCTGACACGGGCACTCCAGTCAAAGGTCTTCCATGCATCAAGCATACCAATGACGCCAGTGCCTCCAACGAATTCAGGGATGACCTTCCCGTTGAATGATCTGTCAAAGGGAACAATTGTCTCCTCGGCATCAGAAAGTAGGGAAGCCTGGACTCGGACAAGAGTCACGTTGGCTGGGATGACGAGGAAAAATGCAACGAGAAGTCCAGACGCAAAGACGGCAAGGCAACTCAAAAGCATCATTCCAGTCTTTCGGGATCCAACGTTGGCCAATTGCCTTGGGTCATGCTCAGTGAGACCAAGACCAACGGCGAGATAGAAAGGAAGTTGGAGAGCGAGCTGCTGGGTGATGGCGAGGACGGCGGTTGGTATGGCGACCTTCTTCCATGTTGACTTTGCAGGCAAACGACGGAACCAGGTCTTTGGGCTGGGCTCGGAGATGACAATCAATGTCCATGCGAGGCTTAGTTGGGCCAGAGCAACACTTGCGATAATGGGTGCGACGAATCTCAAAAGCGATGACAGCGAAAGCAAAGTGTGGACGATGAAGTTGAAAGCAATCTGCGAGACGAAGAAGACCCAAACACCACGGAATCTAGCGCGGAATCCTCCTTTACTATCCAAAACTTGTAGGGTGGTTCGGAAACTAGAGGTGATGGGCTTTGGCTTGACCGTCTCAGCCTCAAGCTCCGGGGTTTTCTTAGGGGCATCGGAGTCTTCGGTCGGGACAGGTTCGAAGCTGATGGTCTCGGGAGGAGACTCGATCATCACGAGGGTGGGAATGATGCGACCAAAAGTATACTCAACCTACACATCCCGTTAGCAGTGGCCCATCTAATGCGCAACCAACACCACCACTACTCGATCGGCTTACCATGGACATTCCAATAAAGGCCACCATCATCGTCGCGCCCAGCATGAACAAACCCCACAGAGGCAGTTCATATTGTTTTTCTCCGCCGTCGGCCTCACCTCCGTTTCTCGCATAAGTTGCGACCTCCATGCCGCGCTTCATGAGCGACCCGGTCAAAGTTGACGCCATGGTGGCGAAGGGTATTCGTCGCCTCGAGGTGTCTTATGTCTTATCGAGAACGTAGAAAACTGACAAATAGGAAACTGGTGATAGTGGTAGGATCTGTGGTGGTGAGAGGTTGATGCGCACGATAGAAAAGGGGATGATAATGTTTTTTGAAATTATGAGGAAGCAAAGGAAAGCAGCGTCATCATATCAATGCGATGGGAATGGGAATGAGGAGTGGACGTAGATGGCAAATAGGCAGCCATACCCTGCCACTCACGGAAGGATGTAATACGGCGAATGTGGCGCAGCAGGCGGCGAGGTGATTCGCTGACAGCGGCAACTCCAAACACCAGCCAATACCATCGACTGCTACCCGACTCCTTACACTACTTACAAGACTACGCACTCGAGCGATAATAATGATCTGAAATCTGCTGTTTATACTTCCAGAATCTCTAGGCAGTTCATGGCTATTTGTAGTATTTGCAGACCTCTTTGAAAATAATGTCAGGCTTATCGGAGTTCATCTGTTGCATTGTTTTGCTTACGGTTTACCAGGGCCACCGCGGTTAATTCAGAAGAGGACTCTGCTGTACTGTTTCAAACCTCAGCCTCCGGAGCCGATCCATCGGATTTAAAAGGATTGCGATGAAGCGCCTATCATGAGATACTCGAGTATGTCGTTTCTGCCTGGTTGAGAGTTCCTACAAAACTGTGCCCAGCGGCAAAGAACCAAAACACCAACACCAACAGTGGCAAAGTTCTCTCCAAACCAATACCGATCCTTTCTTACGTACGAGTACGCTACCTCAACCAATATCAATCATGAAGCCAGATATACCGCTGGAGCTGGTAATACTCGTGTTCTGCTAACATCGCCTCAGATGGAGCAGCCTATCTCCACGAGTTTATAGACGTCGGATACGAGTTATATACCTCCACCCTTACACATTTTGTACAAATGCCTTGTTTCTTACATGCATTTCCTGTCTTTTACGTGCTTGGTTCTATTATTCAAGACGTTGTCGACAAGTGCTGTGCTGTATCCGATTCTTCCACTGCTTCAAGCGTGTGTTCGAGCCTTACGCAGCGTTTTTCTTCGCGTTACCATACCAAATCATACATGAGGTCCTGAAGTGGATGGGGACCTGATTTTGCCTTTTAGGGTGAAGACTTTTCTTCCTCTACAGTTAATGTTGGGATGCCGTGTATCAGGTACATTATCCATTCCTACCTATCATGAAACACCTTGGAAAGAAGCTTCAGAGGCGCCAGCAAAACCCTCAACACATCCCTCCCATTCAACCAGCAATCCTTTAGAAGCATGTCGACCCCCCACGCTTAGAATATTCACAATAACTTAAACACCGAGAGAGATGTAACCTCTGCCTGCCACAATATGCAAAATGCAAATCTTCGCTCTTTCTTCCGAACGCTGACCTTGAAATTCTCCGTTCAATACCAAGATCCTGAAAAGGGTTCTCTTCTTACTGTCTGTACGACAATTATGTCAGGCGCGGGATAAGCAGCCTAACAAATAGCCATAATGAAGAGAAATGAAGTTATCGTCGGAACGCTGTAACACTTTGAGGAAGGGGAAAGGCCTGGCCAAAATATTGGAAAAAAAGGTCTTCCTGACTTAAATTCATGCGTTGAGAAAGGAGAGATCTTACGTGTATAATTATATATCTTCCAAGAAGAAGGAAAACAAGATCCTCAAAAGAATCCCTTATTGAAAACCAAAAGCAACACAAAAGCACAACATCCTGCACCTGTTCTCGTGGGGCTGCAGGTACCCGACACCTAGCATACTGTAGACCACATCTGCACGCGAAGAATCTCGCACCATGCCATGCGTCTCAAGGGTTCAACTATCTCCATCCGTACATGTTACCTGAACACAACACCAAGATGAGATACCGAACGTGGTCCAAAGATTTGCTTTTCCAAATCAACGGGGTTGTTTGCCATCACGAGATTGCAAGGCTTGGTGTGACTTGGTGGGAAAGAATACGAGTTCTTCTCTGACTTTTCTTTACGTGTTGTGCATTGTGTTGTTGGCTGGCTGGATACGAAGTCTACAGTACGTTATTCACGGATTCTGAGGAGAAGCTCGGCTTTTGTATGTCATGTTTGCGCTTATGGGGTTGTTGGTGATTGGTGTGTTGGCTGTTGATTAGGTGGTGTTCTAAATATAGGTAGAGGTTGAAGAATCAGGGATTCTTGCCACAGACCGCAGTGCGTCCAGTTGCCGTAAGTCCACCTTGGCGATCTGGAGATCTGATTGGATGGGATTGTTTTTTGGCATGTTTCTCTGGAGATGGGGTGTAGAGAAAAGAATAGTGAGATGTTTACAGATTACAATTACCCCCACACTCTTTTTCCCAAGGGTCGAAAGAGCCGGATGATCTTGATTTCCAGATCGCAAATTACATGCACGGTTATTCCGTGCTCAGCACAAACAAGCCTTCCATTCACAAATTTTTATATCAGTCCAATCTTGAAAATAGTTCCAACTCCAAAGATATGGAAACAAAGGGTTTGTGATAGGGAAAATATCGTGCAGCCTCTGCCACCGTCATTTCCCCACAGCCACCAAAGTTCCACAACCGCACGGCCGAGACGATCAAGTCCAAGCATGGATGCTCTCATGAACCATGTCAGGGCAAAGCAGGGCAGTTGCAGCGCAGGATAGGATGAATATCATAGCCGAATGCACCGGCTGCGATAGGTGCTGGTGGGTTAAGGATAGTCAAGCTCGCTCTGATGGGCTGGATTTGACTCAGTTCTCGGTCGGGTCTTGTGTTCCAACCCTTTTCCTGCCATGACATGAAAAGTCTTTCATGTCAAAAAGGTGGTCCAGTGCAAAACCTTCCTCCTTCCCTGTTCCGGTTCTGTTCAAATACAATCACACTCGCTTTCTTCGCATCCCCAACCCACATATTGAAGAATTTAGTCACTCGTTGATATTCTATCTCGCGTCCAGTCTTTTCAGTATTTGATACCCCTCAATCTTGTTTCTTTCGCAAGTGTTATCACCGTAGGGTCACCCCAAGTATTCACGATCGTGTAATATCACCCTTCCCCACGATACGATGAAGACCACCATCAGCATCCTCGCCAGTGCGATCGCACTCGCTACACCAACCCTCACAGCCGGCACTTGCCAAACAGGATACACCATCTGCGCACCATCCGGCGCAACATCCAGCAACACCCCCTCCATAACCTCCCCCCAATTCCNCCTCACAGCCGGCACTTGCCAAACAGGATACACCATCTGCGCACCATCCGGCGCAACATCCAGCAACACCCCCTCCATAACCTCCCCCCAATTCCCCTCTCTCCTCCAAGATCTCCTCGCCTCGCCCCTCCCACCCCTCAACAAACGCGCCGACGGCACCGCCTCCCTCTGCTGCGTCTCTTCCCTCTCCTGCCTCACCCTCGCCAACCTCGCCCTCCCCTTCTGCTACGACAAATTCACCACCAACTTCGTCCTGCCCGACAACAGTTTCGGAACCATCGCCACAGGCGCCTACTCCTCCAGCAATGGCGATAAAGCAAACCTGTTAACAGGCGAATACACCCTCGCCAACGGCCAAAAAGGGAACATCTACACCAGCAACTCCGCCGCAAAACCCAACACCGCGACACTCCTTCTCCCAGCCCAGTTCACGGGCGTAGGCGTAGGAAGTGCCATTCCCGCTAGCGAACTAGGAGCCTTCCGAACCTTAACCTTCACGACTACTTTATCTGGCAGCACGATCCCTGGGACTACGATAGAGCCCACTACGATCTCGGGATCGACCCTTTCGAGTCTGGTTACCGCGTCGAGTTTTACGTCGGTGAGTCTGGAGACTGTGGGGCCTAGTACGGTCGAAGGGACGACGAGGAGTGAGAGTGTGGCGCCGGCTACGACGGTGTTGGTTACTACGACGGAGGCGTTGCCGGCTGGGTCGGCGGCGGCGACGACGTCGAAGAAGAGTGGTGTGGGGAGGGGGGT